CGTGAAGTTATAATCCAAATCTGTCCACCTTTGTGTCGTTGAACCTTGTTGCTAATCTATCCGCGCATGTTGTCCCTGGTTGTGTGAGTTGTTTGGCTCAAGTCTGCCCGTCCTTTGGTCGTTTGTTTTCATTGTTGAGTCGTGGCCAATTTGGCAATTTGTGTCCGCATTCATCAAAACAAAAAAAAAAGAGGCAAAACAGCTGTGGTTGTTGTTGCACTGTGTTGTTCAAATTCTACCCGCAAACTGTCTTTAGTATCGAGTCATTATTGTGGCAAATCTGACCATATCTCTCGTCACTTGTTGCACCAAAATTCTGTCCTTGTCAGCCAAGCCGAAACCACAAGAACAAGTGAGTTGGCGGCTAGGTTTCTTGTGCGGCTAGGGTTTGAGTCTTGCGCTAGGTTCTTGTTTTCCAATTCTGTCCAAGTTTATTTCGGTTAACCAAGTTGTTTTAATTAATTTTCCTAAACTGAATTTTGGTTACAAACTTGTTGGGGTTGAGAATCTTGAAGAGAATCTACAAGGTTTTAAGGTTCTTGAAGTTCTTGGTTACTACCTTGAAATTCTTGAAACCTTGAAACGTATCTTGCTAGTTCTTGGAGGACTGAAGAAGTAGTTTGGGGAGCCGACCAGATTGCTGGAATTTACTCATTCGGCCAAATCTTTGAGTTGTTCTTTAAGTAAAAAAAAAAAAAATAGAAACAAAAAGGAAGAAAAGAAGAGCATTCGGTGGAGCAAAAGGAAGTCAAAATTTTATTACCAAATCAGACTCTTATATTGTGCTTGTACCCCAAACAGAAAATTCGAACAAAAATAAAAAAGGGGGAAAAGAAACTCAAAAGTTTTGGCCTACCTCTTCTTGCAATTCTTGATCACCTTGTGCCTTGATAACTTGAACCACCCTTCGAGGTTCTTAAATTTCTTGGCCACCTTGTTTTTTGAAGACTTGAACCTCCCTTCGAATAAACAATTTCCTATATTCCCTAGCGGTGGTGAAAGGCTTTCTTGGTTTGGGGATAAAATTCTTGGAGGAATCTTGAGCAGCCGTTGGGGGGAGGCTTGAGTGACATTGTTTCCATCGTCTTGAGACGCGAAACTGTTTGTGTGTCGCACAAGGGAGGAGGAGACCAATTGCCTTGTTTCTTGGAGCCGAATCCGAATTGTGTTGGTGAAAGAGAGTGCGGCTGCCTTGGGGGTGTTTATAGCTACCCAACCGACTTTGGTGAAAGGGTTTAAGAAGGGGAAAAATCTAGAAATTTTCGGTTGGCATAGGAAGAAACCAAATCTGATTTGCTAGTCTACTTGGAGAGGGATTTGGGAGTTTCCAAAGGTTGTGCAAGAAAGGTTTTCTAAAGAGTTTCCAAAACCAACTTGTTTTCCAAATCAATTTAGGAAACTAAGTAAAACACTTGGATAACTCCTTTGTTTTTCACTTGGTTACTTCCCTACTTTCTCTCCTACGTTTTAGGAAACCACTCCTACATTTTAGGAACCTACTCCTACCTTGTAGGAAACTAGGGTTTCTTGTCCTTGTGTTCACATTAGCGCTTCTTCCTTGCTGTCCGCCACCCCCTCTTTACAAATTTTCCTTTCTACTTCATTTCGCACTCCCATTTGTGTCTTGCCTTCTTTATTACTCTTGTGAAAAGGTTGGTGAACGGTTTTTGGGCTCGAGCAGCATTTCTCAACGACCTAAACCAACAGGTAATTGGTAAGTCCATTAGAGTGTTTATTTGAGTAATACACACGAGAGTGAGTGATACACTAAGGGAGAGAAGTAAGGTTATACCTGCATTGTTTTTCTTGTTACTAACCATTTTTTCAGGCATGGAGAAAGAACAACCACCCACCGACTACTCCCTGATGTTCACCGCCATGAAGAACGAGCTCAGACGAGTTAGTGAGCAACAAATGGAGGAATTGCACACTCGCTTTGATGAACTCTCCAAGAGTCTCACACGAGGCTCTCATTCTAGGTCTCACAACCGGAGTAACCGTGACACCAGGGGAGTAAATAGTGAAGACTACTCTGGTAGTGAGGATGATGAAAATGCCGAGAGGCCCAAAAGGGACACATCTAAGAACGAACTCAAGGGACTTAAAATTCAAGTCCCCGCGTTCAAAGGCAAGATGACCCTAAGATTTATTTGGAATGGGAAGGCCGTATCGAGATGGTTTTCGACTGTTATGACTAGAGTGAGGAACAAAAGGTTAAAGTTGCCATCGTTGAATTCACCGACTACGCCCTAGTCTGGTGGGACCAAGTAAGGACCCAACGAAGGAGAATGGGAGAACCACGAGTCCGAACTTGGCAAGAACTCAAGGCATTGATGCGCAAGTGCTTTGTTCCAAGCTACTATAATCGCGATCTCCACTCTAAACTGCAGACCCTCACTCAAGGTAATATGAGTGTGGAGGATTACTACAAGGAGATCGAGATGGCCATGATGAGGGCGAACCTTCAAGAAGATAGTGAAGCAACCATGTCTAGGTTTCTTAGAGGTCTCAACCCTGACCTTCAAGAAGCCTTGGAGTTTCAACACTATTTGGACATGCATGACCTTCTTGAACTCGCTATCAAGGCCGAGAGGGAAAAAAAATTGAGGCGAGGAGCCAGTACCTTCCAATCTTCCAACTCGACTACATGGAGGGGCAACCAACCACGGAGAGCGGCCCACGAAGCTGGACATTCGGCCACACCCACTTCTTCCAGCCGAATTCAAGGTAATGCTCCTAACCAAAATTCGTATTCCACCCCTAACAAAGTTGCCGACTTATCCAGGTCCACCTCGAAGGCACCACATGAGACTCCTAAGACTAGGAGTAGGGATATCAAGTGCTTCAAGTGCCAAGGGTTTGGACATATTCAATCCCAATGTCCAAACCAGCGAGTCATGTTAATCACCAACAACGGTGAAATCGTGTCGGATGACGACGATTGTGAGGAGGTGCCTGAGTTACACACGAATGACTGCCTGGGGGATGACTCGGCTGAGGAAGATTGCTCTCCTACACAAGGAGAAGTAGGTTGCTTGGTGGCACGACGAGTGCTAACCGCCCGAGTGACGGAGGACGAGCAACTACAAAGAGAGAACCTATTTTACAGTCGTTGTAAAGTAGGTGACAAAGTGTGTAGCCTCATCATCGATGGTGGGAGTTGCACGAATGTGGCGAGTTTGCTCATGGTTGAGAGTTTAGGGCTCCCAACTACTAGACATCCACATCCCTATCGCCTCCAATGGCTAAGTGAGGATGGAGAGGTACGTGTCTTCAAACAGGTACGCGTTCCCTTCTCAATTGGTACTTACACTGATGAAGTTGTGTGTGACGTAGTGCCTATGCATGCTACACATGTCATCTTGGGAAGACCCTGGCAATTTGACAAACACGTCACATTCGATGGAAGGGCAAATAAGCACACACTTTTGCACGATGGCAAACGTAAGGTCATCACACCACTCACACCTGCACAAGTTTATGAGGACCAATTGAAATTACAAAAGGAGTGTGACCTAGACCATCAAAAGCGAAAGCAAAAGACAGCCGACCTGGCAAAAGCTCCACTTCTACAAGTGAGCAAACGACCAAGGGTCAAATGAGCACCCTAGTGTTACGCATGACCATTCACCCATTAAACCACCCATTAGGAAGCAAAACATGATCATTAAGGCTAAGGATGTTAGGAAAGTTGTGAATTCGATCAGCCTGTCCTTCTCATGATTTGCAAACATATGCTTTTAGATGCGCTGAGCTCGATAAGGCATTGCCTTCGAGTATGGTTGCTCTTTTGTAGGAATTCGGGGATGTTTCCTGATGAGGTCCCTGATGGCCTACCACCCATTCGAGGATTGAGCACCAAATTGACCTGCTTCCTAGAGCACCACTACCCAACAAACCTGCTTACCGCATGGGTCCCGAGGAGACAAAGGAGTTTCAACGGCAAGTTGATGGCTATTAGGTAAGGGTTGGGTACAAGAGAGTCTAAGTCCTTGTGCTGTGCCTGTGATACTTGTTCCCAAAAAGGATGGTACTTGGTGCATGTGCACTGACTGTAGGGCCGTTAATGCTATTATTGAAATATCGTCATCCCATTCCTAGACTAGATGATATGCTTGATGAGCTCGATGGTGCTATTATATTCACTAAGATTGATTTAAGGAGTGGCTATCATCAAATTAGGATGAAAGAAGGCGATGAATGGAAGATGGCTTTCAAAACCAAACATGGCCTCTATGAGTGGTTAGTCATGCCTTTTGGGTTGACTAACGCCCTAGTACATTCATGCGACTAATGAACCATGTCTTGAGGCATTTCATTGGAAAATTTGTCATTGTTTACTTTGATGACATTTTAATCTATAGTCGCAGTGAATAAGAGCATATGAAGCATGTGAGATTAGTTCTTGAGGACACTTCGACAGGCGCGTTTATACGCTAACCTTAAGAAGTGCACCATTTTTTTACTAACGAGCTTGTGTCAAAGTAGATGAGTCCAAGATTGAGGCCATCAAGCAATGGCCAACTCCCACATCCGTCCATGAGGTGCGCAGCTTCCATGGATTGGCAGGCTTCTACCGACGATTTGTCAAAGACTTCAGCACCATTGCTGCCTCGTTGACTGCCGTGACCAAGAAGAATGACAAATTCTATTGGGGAGAAGCCAAGAACAAGCATTCCCCACCCTCAAAGACAAACTCACACATGCACCTATTTTGGCATTACCAAATTTTAACAAAACCTTTGAAATTGAATGTGATGCCTCTGGTGTAGGTATTGGCGCCGTTCTCATGCAAGACAAGAGGCCTTGTGCATTCTTTAGTGAGAAGCTAGGAGGTGCTGCCCTGAACTACCCCACGTACGATAAGGAGCTCTACGCACTTGTACGAGCATTGGAGACCTGGCAACACTACCTACGCCCAAGGGAGTTCGTGATACACACTGATCACGAGTCTTGAAATTTCTCAAAGGCCAACCCAAGCTGAGCAAGCGCCATGCGAAATGGGTAAGTTCATTGACACCTTCTTTTATGTCATTAAGTACAAAACTGGCAAAACGAATGTGGTAGCTGATGCCTTATCACGTAGACATTCCTTGCTTGTTGTGCTTGATGCTAAGTTGTTAGGATTTGAAATGCTTAAGGACATATATGCACATGACACCGACTTCAGTGATATCTATGCATCTTGTATGAAGAGCCCACATGGGAAGTATTTTCTGCACAATGGTTTTGTTGTTTTATGTGGATATATTGTGTGTCCCTAACTCTTCCATTCGTGATCTTTTGATTAGAGAGGCACACAGTGGTGATCTCATGGGACACTTTGGCAATGTTAAGACTCTAGCCATGTTACAAGAGCACTTTTACTGGCTGCACATGCGTAGAGATGTTGAACGCAGGGTTGGTAGATGTGTCACTTGTCATAAGGCAAAGTTTAAAACAAATCCATACGGCCTGTATACCCCATTACCTATTCCTCACTACCCTTGGGTAGACTTGTCTATGGACTTTGTCTTAGGCATACCTAGGTCACCAAGGGTGAACTCCATCTTTGTCGTGGTTGATAGATTCTCTAAGATGGCACATTTTATCCCCTGTCACAAAACTGACGATGCATCTCATATTGCTAATTTGTTCTTCAAAGAAATTGTCCGTCTGCATGGCATGCCTAAGACCATTGTTAGTGATAGAGATGTAAAGTTCTTGAGTTATTTCTGGAAGACTTTGTGGTCTAAGCTTGGTACTAGATTGTTATTTTCCACCACTAGTCATCCACAAAGCGATGGACAAACTGAAGTTGTCAATCACACGCATGGTACTCTACTTCGAGCTTTGATTAAAAAGAATCTTAAAACTTGGGAAGAGTGTTTGCCTCATGTTGAATTGTTACACTACTCGCCTTTTGAGGTTGTTTATGGCTTTAACCCCCTGACCCCCTGGATTTGGTACCCTTACCTTCCTCTGAGCATACAAGTTTAGATGGAAAAAAGAAAGCTGATTTTGTGCGCAGGTTACATGAAGCCATTAGGGCAAACATTGAGAGGCATACTCAGCAATACATCCAGCAAGCAAACAAGCACCGTTGTAAGATGGTTTTCGAGCCTGGAGACTGGGTTTGGCTACACTTGAGAAAAGAGAGTTCCCCAAGCAGCGTCAAAGCAAGTTATCCCCAAGAGGTGATGAACCCTTTCGAGTGCTCCAACGAGTCAATGACAATGCTTCGAAACTGGAGCTACCTGGAGAATACAATGTTAGTACGACTTTCAATGTCACGGATTTGAGCCCGTTTCTTGGCGACGAGGATTCAGATTTGAGGCCAAATCCTTCTCAAGAGGAGGGGACTGATGTGTGCACGGGTCAGGGCCCACGCAATGATCCGGTCCGAGTTCCATTGGGCCCAGTCACACGTGCACGAGCCAAGCTCTTCAAAGAATCCCTCCAAGGCCTTGTCCGAACTGTCCAAGACCAGCATGGAGTCCATAGAGATATTGAAGGCTTAGAAAGAGACAATCGAGCTATCTACACCATGATCCAAGCCCCATGAAGAGACAAGTGGACCTCCAAAGAGTTGGCCGAATAGGGCATTAGGCCTTAGTACCTAGTAGAGTTGGATTAGTTATTTAGTAGAGCATGGGCCGGCCCATCTTGACCCCAAGATGTCGACTTTCCCTTCTTTGTTTTCCTTAGGGTTTTAGTAACCCTTAGCTTATAAATAGGCTTGCTTTGTAAGGTTTTAGATGGACGTTGGATGAATAAAATTACTTAGTTTTTCGACTTTCTTCCTTGTGAGAATTTCGAGCTTTACTTGCCTTTGCAAGGGTTATTGAGCAATCTTGCGTCTTGTCCTGGATTGTTCTACCGACCTATTCGCTGGAGTATTCACCTTCCTCGAGTTGTCGTTCTACCGCCTTTGATCAAATCGTGTCGTCCGTTTGATTCTAGGTCCTGCAATCCAAGCGTTGGACAACCTCGCTAGATCCTTGGCAAACGTGCTACGTGTCTCGAAATGTGTTGATCGAGGACTGTATCAATGTTTGCCTCATGTTGAGTTTGCCTACAATCGAACTGTCCATAGTGCAACACACTACTCACCTTTTGAGATTGTTTATGGTTTTAACCCCTGACCCCCTTGATTTGGCCCTTACCTTCCTCTGAGCACACAAGCTTCGATGGGAAAAAGAAAGCTGACTTTGTGCGCAGGTTACATGAAACCGTTCGAGCAAACATTGAGAGGCGTACTCAGCAATACATCCAGCAAGCTAACAAGCACCGTCGCAAGATGATTTTTGAGTCTGGAGATTGGGTTTGGCTACACTTGAGGAAATAGAGATTCCCCAAGCAACGTCAAAGCAAATTGTCCCCACGGGGTGATGGACCCTTTCGAGTGCTCCAACAAGTCAATGACAACACATACAAATTGGAGCTACCTGGGAGTACAATGTTAGCGCGACCTTCAATGTTGCGGATTTGAGCCCATTTCTTGACGAGGAGGATCCAGATTTGAGGGCAAATCCTTCTCAGAGAAGGGGACTGATGTGTGCTCACCCCACACAATGACCCAGTCCGAGTTCCATTGGGCCCAGTCACACGTGCACGGGCCAAGCTTTTCAAAGAATCCCTCCAAGCCCTTGTTCGAATTATCCAAGAGCAACATGGAGTCCATAGAGATATGAAGGCTTGGAAGGAGACAATCAAGTTATCTATACCACGATCCAAGCCCATGAAGAGTCAAGTGGCCTCCAAGTGAGTTGGCCGAATAGGGCCTTTAGGCCTTAGTGTTATTCGAGAGTTAGATTAGTTGTTCTAGTAGGGCATGGGCTGGCCCATCTTGATCCCAAGATGGCCGAATTACCGCTTTCCTGTTTTCCTTAGGTTTTAGTAACCATTAGCCTATAAAAAGGCTTGCTTTGTAAGGTTTTGAGGTAGACTCGATTGATTAATGAAATTGTCTTCTTGTGAGAATTTCGTTCCTTACTTGCTTTTGGCAAGGGTTTCTTGAGCAATCTCATGTTGTCCTTGATTGTTCGTCCCGACCTATCCACTTGAGTATTCACCTCGATTGGAGTCATCATTCTACCACCTTAAACCAACTCGTGTCGTCCGTCGTTGATTTTAGGTCCCGCAATCCAAGTGTTGGACAACCTCGCTAGATCCTTGGGCAAATGTACTACGTGTCTCGAAATGTGTGATCGAGGACCGTATCAGATGGTGTTGGATGATTACCTCCTAACCAAAAATTTTTACACCACTAAAGCTCCAAGAAACCGCAAGGATGATGCCTTTCCTCTAGCTTAAGTGAATCTCCAAGTAATTTGAGTTGGATGCAAAGTTTGAGATGAAATGGAGGAAGATTTGAAGTAAAAATGGAGTGAGCTTCTTCCTTTCTTTTTTTTTTTTTTGCTATTTGGCCGGCACTAATGGACTGAGGAGAAGAGTTTGATGTTATGTGAAGGCTTCCTTGAGAAGCTAAGCTTTTGGGCAAAATTCTAACAAATTCAACTCGTAATAGTGCTCGCGTGCGCGCATTTCGTATCCAATTTCTCTCGGGTTTGTTTCAATTGTGCACTAAACCTCTGTTGTAATTCCTTTATGATGTGTGCATGGATAGCGAGATGAATGGCGGCCCTGACTCAAGGCTTTCATAGAGATATTGAAGGCTTGGAAGGAGACAATCAAGTTATCTACACCATGATCCAAGCCCATGAAGAGTCAAGTTATCTACACCATGATCCAAGCCATGAAGAGTCAAAGTGGGCCTCCAAGTGAGTTGGCCGAATAGGGCCATAAGCCTTAGTGTTAGAGTCTTAAGTTTAGATTAGTCCTTTTGTTAGCCATGGATTCGGCCCACCTTTGTCTAAGGATGGCCGAACCACTAGGCCCTTTTTATTGAGTCCATGGGTCGGCCACCTTGTCCAAAGAGTGGCCGACCCTCTAGCCTTGCGACATTAGGGTTTCGTTAGTTTTGCCTATATAAAGGCTTCCTTTGTAAGCATAAAGGTAGACGTTTTATCAATAAAGTTTTGCATATTTTCGATTCTTCTTGAGAGAGAGATTCGACCCCTTTACTTGCTTTGGCAAGGTTTGAGCAGTCTTGCGTTCTGTCCTAGATTGTTCTACCGACCTATTCCCCTGGAGTATTCACCTTCATCGGAGTGTCGTCTACCGTCTTGAATCATATCGTGTCGTCCGTTTGGTTCTAGACCCCGCAATTCCAAGCGTTGGACATCCTCACTAGATCCTTGGGCAAACGTGCTACGTGTCTCAAAACGTGTTGATCGAGGAACGTATCAGTTGGCTTCAGAGCTTTGGTGGAGGTATCTTCCGTTATATCCGTAGTCTTGTCCTAGTTTCCTTATTTCTCCGCTGCCTTGTTTTATAAAAAAAAAAAAAAAAACGTCACTGTTCATCCGATACTGTTCACATAAATACTTTCCGACACTGTCATCCGCTGTTCACCGCTACTGTTCATCCGACACAGTTCCCACAATCTGTTAGTGTGTTATCTCCTTTGTGTTGTGTCTAGTTTGTTGATAATTTCTGTCCACAACTTGTTTCTTGCGTTTGAGTCGTTTGTGCATCAAAAAAATTCTGGTTTGTTGGTGTTTCAACGTTGCTCCCAAATCTGTCTCGTTAATTGGTTGTCGCTTGGGCAGCAAGAACAATAACGTGACGGCTGCTAGGGTTTCCTTATCTTGCTAGGGTTTCCTTCTCTTGCTAGGGTTTTCCTTGCGGCTAGGGTGTCTACTTGCGGCTAGGGTTTCATTTGCGCTAGGGTTTCTTTGTTTTCACTTGGACACTCTCCTATATTTTGGGGCACTCTCCTACATTCTCTCCTATATTTTAGGAACACTCTCATACATTCTCTCATCCATTTTAGGAAACTTGTATATATTCTCTCATCCATTTTAGGAAACTCTTCTATAATCTCTCATCCATTTTAGGAAACTTTCCTATATTCTCTCATCCATTCTAGGAAACTCTCCTATAATCTCTCATCCATTTTAGGAAACTCTCCTATAATCTCTCATCCATTCTAGGAAACTTTCCTATATTCTCTCATCCATTCTAGGAAACTTTCATATATTCTCTCATCCATTTTTAGGAAATTTTCCTAAACTCTTTCATCCATTTTTTTGGAAACTTTCCTAAATTCTCTCATCCATTTTTTTTGGAAACTTTCCCAAACTCTCTCATCCATTTTTAGGAAATTTTCCTAAACTCTTTCATCCATTTTTTTGGAAACTTTCCTAAATTCTCTCATCCATTTTTAGGAAACTCACCTAAAATTCTCTCATCCATTTTTAGGACCTTTCCTATATTCTCTCATCCACTTTAGGAAACTCTCCTATATTCTCTCATCCACTTTAGGAAACTCTCCTATATTCTCTTCCTAGATTTTAGGAACACTCTCCTACACTTTCTCCTATATTTTCTCCTAGTTTTTAGGAACACTTCCCTACACTTTCTCCTACATCTCCGTGATTACTCTTGAGGGAAAAGTCGGTGACGTTTATTGGACTTGTGCGGCATTTCTCAACTACCCAATCCGACAAGTAAAGGAATTTTGGTAAGCTTATTTGAGTGCTTTGAGTGATACACGAGTGATGAGTACATACACGTGAGCTTGTGTGTCGTGAGGAATCTCCTTTTCTTTGCTAACCATTTTTGCAGGTCATGTAATCATGCCAAGGGGAGTTGCCTCTTACTCATACAACCCAGAATTCTTGGAGAATGAGCCTCTCAAGAGGAGGGGTTCCAAGCGGCCTACTCCCAAGCACAGTTCCATGGAATCTAGTTCACAACGTGAGTTTCGCTCACTCCGGGAGGAGATGGAACGTTACCGTGCTTCGTGTGTATATGAAAGGTATAAACGAGATTGTGATGAGTATGAGAAGGAGCAAAGAAGTTTGCACCGAACATCTAAATTGAGATCAACCTCAAGCAAACAAGATTCATCTACGAAGTGCCTTGACAATCAAGGCAAGGCGTTCGCGAACTCTCGAATTGAGGCAAAGCTTCGTGAATCAAAGGATAAATTCCGGAGTCGGACTGAAGCATTGATTGATGATATGATGGAAAGACTTAGCCAAGTGTTGGATTCACACTTGGA